GACAATAATCACTAAATCAGACGAACTTCAACTTAGCTCGTTTTTCCAAACATAGCCTTAGTATTTGGTAAATGACTTTTCGATTTTATTGTTTGAAGCCAAAAGGCCAAAAATAAAAACGTCAATTTGAGTAGCTTATTCACTAATAGCTTTTTATTTTGTATTTTAAAAGCTATCATCATGAATAGGAAATAATATTCACTAATAGCTTATTTAATAAGCTTTTTATTCACTAATAGCTTATATATACCCTCCAAATAAAATAACATAATAATGACAAGGAAATAACAATGATAAGATATATCATGATGAATATTGTTGCTATTTTAAAATATTATTTTAAAAATGAGTACAAGTAATCAAATTTAAAATATTAATTGTAAATATGTGTGTGCATGCGTAAGTGTATATATATACAACAACATCATCTAAACCTTAGTTTCAAAAGATTGTGGGATCAGCTAAATACATGATATCTGAGCCAAAAAGAAAATAAAGATAAGAAAGATAAAAAGATAAGGTTAGATAAAAAAGAAGATAAAAATGATAAAATAAAAATGATAAAATATATACTCCCTCCGTATTTTAATGTTCACTACAATAGGTTTGGGCACAAGAAGTAATGAATAGCGTAGAAAAAATATGAGAGATAATGGAAAAGTATGAAAGAGAAGATAAAAAGTAGAAAAAGTAAGGGTAATTGAGTATTTTCAAAGTAAAAACTTACCAAAAAGTGAAAGTGTAGCAAATTTTTAAATACATCCAAAACAGGAAAGTGCAGCAAACATTAAAATACGGAGGGAGTATATAACATAAAAAGGGTAAAAGAATATCCACCAGAAGAATATTCATCCTCCATTTTGCTCTCTCTGGTCTCTACTCTCGCCTAACCCAAAAATAAGCATATCACTTCTCATTCCTCTAATCCATGTCTATTTGGATCTTCTTTTCCCTCTTGACCTCTCGTCCCCGCCTATTTTGCCCACCTTTTAATTCGCCAGTGTATCACTCCGTCTATAGGCATTACTCCCACTTTTTTTCTGATTATCTTATTTCTCAAACAGTCTTTTCTAGTACAACCATTGATGGATAGTCCACCCGGGGGGTATCTTATCCGAGGGGTTATTACGGGAATAACTAGAGAGAAGTCAGAGCAAAATAGAAGGAGAGAGAGTCGATTTATTAAATGAACTCTAGATGTGGAGTTGGGATCGTTTACAAGGAGAAATGGGCTGTTATTTATAGCAACAATAAATGCGATGAGAGTACATGTGTCAATAATCCGACGGCCGAGGGGTCACATCAACCGGGTGGCACCGGCAGTGGCATGTTCACCGCATTGAATGCGGTTGGCGGATGTGACGTTGCATTAAATGCGGTGGTTGGATGTCTCCAGAAGGAATCTTCGATGATTGAGCATGTTAGGCCGAAGGCTTCCTGTGCAGCCGAGAGCCCCTGTGTAGCTGAAGGTCCTACGTGACCGGAGGCTTGGCTCAGCCGGAGGCTCCTCTGATGCCGAGGGCTTGATGATGCCGAAGGCTCCTGTTTTCCGCCGTTTTCTCCCAGTAGCTTCGTATGCCCAAAAAGGCTATCCACTGAGTTTTGGAGCCTTCGGCCAGGTAGGCCGAAGGCACCCCAGTGTGTATTCTGGGCTTCTTTGACGCTTGGGCCGTTGTGTTTGGGCCTGAGATGTTCTCTGGGCTCAATGGACTTGTGTGGGAGAAGTAGGAGTCTATGGGCCGGGGGTTCCTGGGCCGTATACTCCATCAGGAGTCCCTCACTCCTTTTGCCAAAAGGTACTTGAGGAAAAAGGAGTAGTTGCGTTGATTCTTCTGGAGGCTTCCTCATTTCGTTGGGTGCTTCTGCTTGATAACTTGTCTTCTGCTGGTTGCCGAAGGCTTCCCTCAGTCCCTCACATGTCGAGGGTTTTCTGAAAAAATATACATAACATTCGTAGGTTTGCCGGAGGCTCCCCTCAGTCCCTCACATGTCGAGGATTTTCTGAGGGAAATGTATCATCTGTATGTGTTTTGATGCCTTTCTTCTGCTGAAGGGTACTTTGAGGTTTGTACCCGAGGGGTTCCACTTTAATGTTTGCCCCGGAGGCTGTATGCGTCAATTGTAAATTTTGCCTGAGGAAATTTTGTACTTCGTGGTAGCCGAGGGATGTATCCCAGTCCCCCACTCCTTTAGGCCGAAGGCAAGTTCGGGCTAAAGGAGTTATGATGAGTTGATGAGCCCCCGAGGGGTGCAAACATTGTTAAGCCGACGGCTTATGCTTCTTCTTGCCCCGAAGGCGTTTGTCGGGACTCGCTAACTGAAGGCTACGGTGTGCGATAGCCGGAGGCTATCATTCGAGTGCTTCCCAATGTTTGAGGGATATAGGCGTTGTAATAGAGCCGTTGTAGGAGGGGTTGACGTGGCGTGTTCTCGTTGGCTGACGGGGGGCGGGTGCCACCCATTGGTCAAGGCGGCGGCCCGTAATGATGGGCTTTTTAAATCGAGGCCCGTTTTTCAAGGCCGGAAGTTTATAAATACTCCAAGGCCAGGTTTGATTCCCTTGTGCGAACTTGAGTGATAGCGGAGCTCTGCCAATTTTTCTAGAGAGAGAAACCCCTGCCCTCGATCAAACTTTAATCTCCAAGGTCAGTTCTTCATCTGTTCTTTCCTTACTTAGCATACTTTGCTATTTCGACCGTAAATCTAGTGTTAGTGGCCTTAGAACCTTAGGGATCTCCTTTCATCTTGAAAAGAAAAACCCTCCGGTTATCACAGACAACATGTCCTCCGGGAGTGATTCTCAAAACATCTTGAGGGAGCCATCGGTACAAGGTGAGAGTATCTCCGATGTAGAGTCCTCCAGCGAGCAGCCATCGGCGAACAACGACTTCGTGGTAGCTGAGGAGGTACAAAAAGTCCTTCGGGCCGAGTTGGAGGCCGAAGACTTCGAACAAGTGAATGAGGACGAGGAGCTGACCCTCGCTCTGCAAGTCGCCGAGGAGGAGGAGGAGAAGGAACGCCACCAGGTGACGGTTGCCGTCATGCCCTCGCGAGGTGCCGGTGAGGCGAGTAGTTCCCGGCCTTTAAACCCGGAGCCTCTAAGGGTTGCACCCGGAAGGAAGAAGAAGCAAAGGGCCACGCAAAAGGGGAAGCAAGCGATCGTCGACGTTGGGCGGCCGGTTGGAATACCCGAGGGGCACTCATACTTGGATACCACTGCCCTCGAGGTGAAGACCACGGCCTCGGGAGCCGAATGCCTAACCCTCCAGATATTTGTGGGACCGTCGGCACAGGTCGTGGAGCCAGGGCCCGAGGATTTGCTCTCCCATCCCCCTGAGGGGTGTTTTTCAGTTCACGTGCTCTCGGTGGAGTTGGGCCTCAGGTTTCCGCTCCACCCTTTCGTTCTGGAGTATTTGAGGTTTGTGAAGCTAGCCCCCTGCCAGCTCACGCCCAACAGCCATTATTACTTGGCGGGGTTCCTGGCTCTTTGCCGAAGCCGGGGGGTGACCGCCACGTTGGATCAGTTTTTCCTCTCCTTCAACCTCTGTAGAGGGGGGCACTCGCACGCCGGAGGGTAAGCCAATCTTCAACAAGTCCCGGCGTGGAAACTTTTCTCCGAGACCCCCTCCTCCCACAAAGAATGGAAGTAGAAATTCTGTTATATTCGGATGGCCGAAAATCCGTTCCCGGGGGCCTTGCGCATTCACTTCAAGAGACATCCGAAGGTGGGCAATGCAGCTCTCGATAAGGCGGGGAGGAAGCTTACTAAGAAGCCCGAGGGTTCCGACCAAGTGATCACGATCAAGGAGGTGACATCACCTGAGGAGCTGTACCTGCTGGGGTTCCGGCGATATCGCCTTCCGGGGGACGAAGGCGAAAAATATCCTGAGATTGATCGGGGGTATCAAAACGCCGGAGGTTGTAGCCGGGGGCTCTTGTTACTGGTACTTAGAATTCTTTTTTTTGTACTTTACTTGTTTTGATTCTAACCCCTTCTGAATTGCTGCAGGTGATATTAAGGACGTGCAGGCCTTCGCCCGATTGTCTAAAAAGCTGGCCAAGGTGCCAAAGAAGAAGAAGGAGGAGGGGCCCTCGAACCAACCCCTTGTTGACGAAGTTCTCAAGAAAGACGGGGCCTCTAAGGTTCCGGATGGTGAGGGCCCCCTCAAGGAAGCTGCTGTTGTTGACACCGGTGCTGAAGCCGGGGGCTCCCAAGTTGGGGAGCTAAAGAGGAAAAATACCGGGAAGGGTGTCATGCCTCCGGAAAATAAGAGGAAGAAAAGGGGCGAGGGGGGCAAGGATGCCCCCTTGGTGATTATCGATGAGCCCCCTACTTTTCAGCCCTCAGAGTCCAACCCTCTGGACGACTTTGACGATGGGGCCTGGCCTAAAGAAATGGTGCAGTTCTCCTTCAAAAAAGGGACTGCCATCATGCACGGCACCCTCAACCCGAGGGAGTTCCTGAGGGGTGCAACTCCCCCGCTGGACCGGTCTACCCTCGGCCGATTTGACGACGAGGCCCTTGAAGTCAAAGCCCTCCAAGCCTCGGTTTCTGTAAGTTCCTGAGTCTTTCGCAATTGAATTCTTCGTGTCCCTCCTTTTTCATGTTTTTGTAAGTTCCTGAGCGTCCTTTCTTTTCGCTTACAGGCTAGCCTGGCTTTCGGAGAATATGTCCAGAGGATGGAACAAGCCCGCCTCCGGAAGGCGGAAGACGATGAGGCCCTTAAGAGGCTTGTCGCGAAGAATACCGAGGCCATCAGGAAAATGGCTGAGCTGGAGGAGGCCCTGAGGCAGGCGGCGGAAAAGCTGGAGGCCGCCAAGGTGGAGGCCCGGGCCGAGGGCAAGGCTGAATGTTAGGGTCCGGGCCTAATATATAATAAGAATAATGGACTGGGCCTATTAGCATATTAATAAGAATAAAAGTGTATTAGTTTAGTATAAATAGCAGAAGGCAGGGAAGGGTTAGGTAGGCTGTTTAGACATTTTTCAGACAGGGACTTGGGAGATCGAGAGTTACTCTCTTTCTTGGGGGCTTCGGCTCATATTGGGGGCTTCGGCCATTGATTTCTTACTCTCTTTCTGTAATCGATTCTTCCTCATCAATAAAAACTCTTAGTTGTTCTTGATAGATTCTGTGATTTTACTGTTTACCTGGACAGTTTCCTATCAATTGGTATCAGAGCAGTGTTCGATCGCTGAATGAGATATACGCGTTCCAAAATGGAAGCCAGAATGAACGAGGTGGAACGAAGCATGGTGGATATTGGGAGAAATCAAAGAGAATTACACGATCAATTGGATCGGAGGATGCGTGAATTGCAGAGTAATATGGCGGACCAATTGGCGGAAAAATTGGCTTCGATTCAGACATCGATGCAAGCGACGATGCAAGCGAACTTGGCGGAATTTCAGAAGAACCTCGCCAGTCGATCGCGAAGCCTCTCTCACCGATCATCTGCCTCGCATCGCACGTCGCATCATCATCAACCGTTTCACCATCAATCGTCGCATCACCATCACCAATCGCGACGGGCAACCAGTTCAGAAGGATCGGAAAACAGTTCGGACTATTCACCACCGCGAAACCACCCTCATCGACACAGGAGACACGATCACCACCGCCGGACTGAAAGGAAAATTGAATTACCACTTTTCAATGGAGCTGACGCTGGTGGTTGGTTGATGAGAATGAACCGCTATTTCAGGTTAAATAGAACTGAGGAGGAGGAGAAAATTGATGTGGCAGTTCTAGCTATGGAGGATCAAGCTCTCAGTTGGTTTCAATGGTGGGAGAGACAAGCTGCACATCAGAACTGGGAGTCTTTCACTAGGGCGTTGACTAGAAGATTTCAGCCTGATATGGTAAACGATCCTCTTGGGCCTCTTTTCAGTCTGAAACAGAAAGCTACAATTCAAGAGTACCGAGATCGATTCGAAAAGGTTATCGCTTCACAAGGCCATTTAACAGAAGAAGTCTTAAAAGCAGCCTTTCTTAAGGGATTGAGAAGAGATATAAAAGCAGAATTGAAGTTACATCATACTAGAACATTGGCAGAAGTTATGGATACTGCCTCCGCGATTGAGAACAAAATTTTGGAAACTTTGTTTGTAAAAGATAAAGAGGAGGAAAGAAAGAAGGTGCAGACTGCAAATCAGAAATGGGAAGATGGTTGTAGAGGGAGTTCTAGCTACACAACCAAGAATCCATCTGGCAACTATTTAGTTGATAACATGAAGAAGCAGGAATCTTCAAATTCAGTTCAGCGGAATACAAAACCCCAATTATCACAAGAAGAATTGCTTGAAAGAAGTAAAAAGGGGCTATGTTTCAAATGCGGAGAGAATTGGGGAAGGGGACATGTGTGCAAGATGAAGAATTATACAATAACTTTAGTGGAACGATCGGAGGGTGAAGCTGAGTTTGAATTTGAAGCACTGGGATCAGGCAGGGATAAGATCACACCTCTAGAATTGAAGACCATGCAATTCTCTGTAAGTGATGAGAAAGAAATAACCCCTGTGAAAACATTTAAGGTGAGAGGTAAACTGAAATGGCATGAAGGTGAAAGCACAATAAATGTACTCATTGATGGAGGTGCTACACACAATTTTCTGTCACTAAACTTGGCGGAAAAGTGGAGGATTCCTTATACTCATTTCACAGGGAATAGGGTGCAGTTAGGGAATGGCGAATGTATTCCAATCTGTGGATGGTGTGCAGGTGTGGATCTGAATGTGCAAGGAATTGGTATTCACCAAACTTATTACTTATTGGAGCTGGGGAGCATGGATTTAGTCTTGGGAATGGACTGGTTAACAAGTTTGGGAGACATGGAGATTAACTTCCAAAGTCAGACCTTCAAATGGAAAGTACAAGGGCAGGAGGTGATTCTACAAAGAGATGACTCATCAAGAGAGCAGGACGTTGAAGGAAGAAGTGTTCAAAGGCACGAAGTAGCTGTCCCCAATGTTACAGCAAGCTGCAATTGGGTCTTCCAAAAACCTGCAGAAATCACAGTTCTGGATCAAATTGTCTGGCCTATGTGGAACTATGCTGTGAAATACTTAGAGGGAAAGATGGAAGTAGTAAAGCTAAAGGCCCAGCAGACCAATCAGTACTGGAGAGGAAGGGGTGCTAGGATGAAAGAAGAGAATAAGTTAGTGGCTGTGTCATATCATCCAACTTGAGGGCAAGATGGATGTTTAAGGGGCGGAGTATTGTTAGGGTCCGGGCCTAATATATAATAAGAATAATGGACTGGGCCTATTAGCATATTAATAAGAATAAAAGTGTATTAGTTTAGTATAAATAGCAGAAGGCAGGGAAGGGTTAGGTAGGCTGTTTAGACATTTTTCAGACTGGGACTTGGGAGATCGAGAGTTACTCTCTTTCTTGGGGGCTTCGGCTCATATTGGGGGCTTCGGCCATTGATTTCTTACTCTCTTTCTGTAATCGATTCTTCCTCATCAATAAAAACTCTTAGTTGTTCTTGATAGATTCTGTGATTTTACTGTTTACCTGGACAGTTTCCTATCACTGAAGCTGAGAAGGCAGCTGAGGAGGCCTCAAAGAAAGCGGCCGATGAAGCCGAGAGGGCGAAGACTGAGGCCATGGCCAAGGCCAAAGAAGATGCTGTTGGTGCTTTCCTCGCTGAGGGGTGGAAATCCGATGAGCACCAGGGATGGGTGGCTTCGGTTATTGAGCAAGGTGTCGGCGCTTGGGTGAAAGGCCCCGGGTCCGAGTGGATGGCTCTGAGAGGCAAAGATTATTTTGATGGAGGTGAGTTCTTCACTCAGCGCCTAATATACCGGAAGCTCGCCCAGCACTTCGACATCCCCAAGGACGAGTTCGATCCTTCAGCATATGGGCTTCCTCCCCGGCAACCTGATGTCCGAGTCCCCCTTCCGGAGGGTGAAGAGAGGGCCCAGCTTGCAGATTCGGAGCTGATGAGGGAGTATGGTCTCAACGATGAGGAGGGAACCGAGGATGATGCTACTTCGAGGGCGAAGGATGACGCATCCGAGGAGCCCAAAGATTAGGATTTTGTTTAAGCACTCTCTTTGTAATAGATTATAGGCCTAGACTTCGGCCAATTGTAAACAAACATCTTTTGTTAATACTCATCTTTTTGAATGAATGTGATATGCCTCCGGGCTTTTTAATGAGTGATTGTCATCGTCTCATAGTATAAGCCTTTGCCTTTTGATGAATGTATGCCCTCGTTTCTTTTTGTATTTGCGTATGAATGAATGTTTGTTTTCCTTTCCCTCGCCTAGTTTCCCGAAGGCCACCAGTTGGTGTACTTAGAAAATTTTCTAAATACTTTGTCAAAAACCTTCGGCTGTAGCGTAGAATCATCGGGGGTTTGTGATTGTGGACTTGGAAAATTCCCTAAGTGAGGAACTTTGCGACGAGTTCACAGTTGTAGCCTAGGCCCCCCGGAAGCTTGTAGTAGTAAGACCGAGAGCCAGGAGGAATTAGACTTAGGAATTTTTCTAAGCTAATATCACCGTAGGCCATCGACGTTCTTGAGCCTTCGACTTACAGTGTACTTTTAGGCCCTCGTCGAGTAGTTTGAGGTTGCCTTCGGCTCTAAGCCTGTTGGTGGTAGCGAAGTCCATGTTTGCCCAGCGAGGGGTTCCCAATTGTGGACTTAGTCAAATTTCCCCAAAGTTTCAATAGGCAGTGTAGTGAGCCCTCGGATGATCTGTGGATTTCGAAAAAATTTCCTCAACATTATAATAGATGTTGTGGACCCCTCAGATGAAGGAGTTTGATGAATCTTCTGCTGTTGTGGGTCTCATGAAATTGTCCCACCGATCCGAGGGCATGCCTTCGGGTGTGAGATAGACTAGCTTCCTTGTGTAGTAAGATTTAGAAAGGGGGAGCCTTCGGCACACAATTTACTGCCTAGTCTTCGCCAAAATTTGGTAAGGCCTCTTCTTGGGCCTCCGGGGGAACTGTTGTGCTCCAAGGCTTTATGTAGTGAAGCCTTCGGTTATGTAGTCGGATGACTTGTTGTTGAGAGATTTTCGTGTGCCTTTGTAGGAGCCTTCGGGAATATATATATATCCGAATTGTTGAGCCTCCGGGGAGAATAGTATCCGGGGAGTTCCTTTCCTCCTACACATCTTTTTTTTTTTTTTTAATGATGTAGGAGAGGCATCTAGAAACTTGGTTTCTAGAAAAGGCTTGGCCTATATGGAAGGCGACGGAATAAACTGTTGGCTCCCCCTTCGGGAATGACCTTCAGATATCCCGAAGGGTTTGAGGGTCGTTTCCTCGGCCCGAGACATCGTCTGTTGCCTGTTTCCCCTTGGGAGATAGCGCGGAAAGCGCCTCGGTTTTGAAAGTCGTCCCCTCAGCCCGAGACATGGTCTGTTGCCTGCTTCCCCTTGAGGGATAGCGCGGGGAGCGTTTCGTTTGTGAAAGTCGAATCCTGGGCCCGGGACATGGTCCGTTGCCTGCCTCCCCTTGGGGGATGGCACGGAAAGCGTTTCTGTGAAGGGTTTTATTTGTGTGTGGAACACAAATAGCCGGGGGCACTTGGTACCAGCCGGGGCCGAGGGGTGTTGCACCCCCCAGTTTTTTTTTTTAAATAAGAGAGTATGTATAAGTATGCATAATGTATGCATGATTGCCCTCGTGGGGTGCGGCTAAAAAACACTTGGTGTTCTCAAAGAGTGATGGGGGTAACCCGTACACTTGTGATAGAGTATATGGGCCTGGACCCCATGGCCCACATACTCGAGTCAATGATGACCAAAAGAACACCCACATGGCCCCTTTCGGCCAATGGGCCCGCATCGGCCAGAAGCCGAATCGACCCAGGAAGCACGCATGGGCTACCGGGGGGCCGCATCGGCCCATGGACCGCATCGGCCAAAAGGCACCGCGTCGGCCCGGCTTCGTCCGGGCAGAACGCATCTCCTTGTTTTATTTACTAAGTATTGTACTCAGCCCATTAGTGGCCCTATTTCGCCCAAAGAAGGCATAATTATTGTAATGGGCCTCCTAAGCCCATGGCTAGGAGCCCAAATCCACATTTTTACCTATAAATAGACCCTTTGGGGCTAGTTATAGGGGGTTGAGAAATACAATTACTCACTTTCTCTCTCTAGCTCTCACTTCTCTCTAGAATTAATACTCTATCAACTTGGTACTTGGTACCTAATTTGGTGTTCCTCCTTATGAGGGGAAGAGGCCTTGGGCCTATTTTGGTGAAGAGATGATGGCTTGGCCACTCATTTTCAAGAAAGAAGGGGGCCTTGGGCCGCTTGTGTGACATATAGGTGATGAAGGCTTGGCCTTTTGATCATTCTTTCAAAACAGATGGGGCTTCGGGCCACATATCATTTACATTTGTTGAGGATGAGGGCTTGGCCACTCATGTTTTATTGATAGAATTTGACAAGGTGGTGCACATTCCAATGTCTAGGGACCTCTGTCCCATTAGGACGCTTTAACTTGTATGTTCTCGGCTTGATGATGGCTGAGACAATGTAGGGGCCTTCAAACTTAGGCGCCATCTTGCCGCCTTCGGTGGGTAGGCTGGCCTCCCTTCGTCGGAGGACGTAGTCCCCCACCTGGAATTCCCGGGAGCAGACCTTCGCGTCGATGTAGTCCTTGACTTGTCTTTTATAGTTTTCAGCCCTGAGGAAGGCTTGCTCTCGGCGTTCTGAGATAAGATGAAGATCGAGGGCCATGTTGGCGTCGTTGACCTCGGGTTCGTATTGTTCCACCCTTCTTGTAGGAAGGGTCACCTCCGTTGGAGCCTTAGCCTCAAAGCCATAACATAATGAGAAGGGTGTTTCACCTGTTGCACGCCGAGGGGTGGTACGGTAGGCCCATAAGATGTTGTGGAGCTCCTCTACCCAGCCTCCCCCTTCGGCTTCCAGTTTCTTCTTTAACCCTTCGAGGAGGGTGCGGTTGGCATTCTCTACTTGCCTGTTGCCCTGAGGGTAGGCAACGGAAGAAAAGGTGTGTTTGATGCCCCACGCCTCGAGGAGAGCGCATAAGGGGGCTGCCTCAAATTGAGTGCCATTGTCGGAGATGATTTGTTGGGGGACGCCAAACCTTGTCAGAATGTTCTTGAGGACGAAGTGGCGGCACCGGGCCTCAGTGATGCTGGCGAGGGGCTCGGCTTCCACCACTTGGTGAAATAGTCAATGGCAACGATGATGTATCTGTTGTTGGAGGTACCCCTCGGAAGAGGGCCTACTAAGTCAATACCCCATCTGGAGAAGGGTATAACGGTGCTGATGGGGGCATAGTTGACCGCTGGTCTGCCGGGGGCCTTCTGAAAGTGTTGGCATGCGGTACACCTTCGGGCTAGATCAGCGCAATCCCGGGCCATCGTGGGCCAGAAGTAGCCCTGAACGACGAGCCTTCGGGACATGGAGAAGGGTCCCCGGTGAGCTGAGCAAGTGCCACTGTGCACCTCCTCCATTGTGACTTCGGCTTCATCCTGATGAAGGCACCGAAGGAGGGTGCCGTTGTAGGATCTCTTGTAGAGCCTACCATTCTCGAGGGTGTAGCTAGGAGCCCTCAGTTTTGCTAACTTGGCGCGGGCTTCATCCTCGGGGAGTTGTCCTGTGGTGATGAAGTTGATGATGTCGGAGATCCAGTTCCCCGGCCTTAGGTGAATGTTCATGACGGGGCTCGCGTGGATGCTCGAGAGGCTGAGTTCCTCAATTCTTGCAATTTTTGAGAGGTGCTCGGGGGATTCATCTGGGAGCTTGGATAGAATGTCGGCCTCGGAATTTTGAGCCCTAAGTATTTGGGTAAGAGAATGTGCCTCAAATACCTTAAGCAACTCCTTGGCCGCTTCCTTGTATTGTTTCATCCTCCCTTCCTTGGCTTCGTATTCCCCGGAAATTTGACCTACGACAAGTTTGGAGTCACACTTTACGTGGATCATTTTGGCCTTCAGATTTGCTGCCAGCCGAAGACCACAGAGGAGGGCTTCGTATTCGGCTTCGTTGTTGGAGACTTTGAAGGAGAAGCGAATGGCATAATAGGCGCGGAAGCCTTCGGGTGTGATAAGAACCACCCCTCCTCCGCATGGTTTGGCGGCCGAGGAGCCATCGGTGTAGAGTGTCCACCATTCATCAAGAGGCGCCGAAGGCTCTTCATCCACCGCTGATCTCGC